CGGTTCTGCATCGATTTTCGCAAGGTCAACGCGGTGACCAAGCGTGACGCGTATCCCATTCCAAATATGTCTGGCATACTGGACGAACTGCGACAAGCTCACTACATAACTACCTTAGATTTAAGCCAGGCATATTTTCAGATACCTCTAGCTCCCTCCTCTCGCGAAATCACCGCGTTCGTAGTCCCTGGACGGGGACTCCTACAGTTCAAGCGAATGCCATTTGGACTTACTAACGCTCCTGCTACCTTCCAGCGGTTGGTCGATAAAGTTATCGGTATCGCGATGTACCCGAACGTATTCGTATATCTCGATGACATAATTATCGTGACTCGTACCTTCGAGGAGCACCTCGTCTGGTTGGACAAGGTTCTCCATAAACTCCGCGAAGCTAGCTTAGTCGTGAACCGCGAGAAAAGCCACTTCTGCCGCGCCGAAGTTCGCTACTTAGGCTTCCTCGTAAATAGCGCAGGGCTGCAGGTCGACCCCGATAAAGTCGAACCGGTACTAAACTACCCAGCCCCGCGGAACTTAAGGCAACTCCGGAGATTCCTAGGCATGGCTTCATGGTACCGACGATTCGTACCAAATTTCGCTACCTGCGCGCAACCGCTAACTAAGCTACTTAAAACGAAGCAGCCCTGGGAATGGACCACCGACCAGGAAGCCGCCATTGCTACCTTAAAAGCTCACTTAACTTCTGCTCCGACCCTCGCGTGCCCTGACTTCGAGAAGCCCTTTGTTCTCCAGACTGACGCGAGCAGTGTAGGATTAGGGGCAGTGCTCTCTCAAAATCTCGACGGGGAAGAACGGGTCATAGCCTACGCGAGTCGCTCTCTCTCTGACGCCGAGAAAAACTACACGGTTACCGAACAGGAATGTCTAGCCGTGATATGGTCGATCAAAAAGTTCCGTTGTTACCTAGAAGGCTACCGGTTCACCGTGATTACCGACCATAGTACCCTCCGCTGGCTGAATAATCTGCGAAACCCGACCGGCCGACTCGCGAGGTGGGCCCTTGGGCTGATGGAATACGACTATACCATCATCCATCGGAAGGGTGCCCTTCACCACGTCCCCGACGCGCTATCTCGAGCCCCCGAGGGGCTGACCGACCCGGACGAGTCACGCACCCCCGAGGGTGAACCCATGGCTACCTATTCCGCGACCCCCCTTTTCGCTACCTCCACTGCTCCGCACGCTACCTATGACGAAGTATTGGCTACCTGCGCCGATACCAAGGACAACTGGTATAAACGACGGTATCGGGATGTCCAGCACGCGCCCGCGAAGTTACCTGATTACAAAATCGTGGAAGACCGACTATATGTCCACCGACCAAGTCAACTCGTCGACCAGGAGATCGAAGATCTCGACGCGTGGAAGTTAGTGCTACCTAGAGAGTTACGTAACCAGGCGATTAACGAGGCCCATGAGTTACCTCAATCTGGTCACCTCGGAATCGATAAGACGTACCGCCGCGTCTCGCTTCGTTATCACTGGCCGTCTATGCTCAAGGACATTACTCGTTACGTCAACCACTGTGCTACCTGCCAGAGATGTAAGGTAGAACAAGCCGCTCCCGCCGGGGTAATGGGCCGCAGGTTCATCGAGGAACCCTGGACCACCATCGCCGCGGACATCATGGGACCGATCACCCCTAGCAAATCGGGCTACCGATACATCCTCGTGATACAAGACCTATTCACGAAGTGGGTCGAGGTCGTTCCCCTACGTTCCGCCACCGGCAAAAAGAT